CGCGCCGTCCGTCCCACCGCCCCGCCACGGCCACGCTCTGCCGCATCCAGGACGCCCCGGAGATTCGAGGATTGACTCTTCCGTGGCAACAACGATTTAAGTTCTCCAGACTGAATCCGTCGCCTGAGCGATGGGAGATAAAGAAAATAATAAAGTGTTGTTGGAAAGAGAAAAAGACTCTGTCATAACGAGCATTATCGCGAGCAACACCCTCTCATCACAGTCAACAAAGGATTTGTCTTTGTGATTTAGGTGGGATTCACGATAAAACACATAAACACCTCTTGTCTGGAAATCTCCTCTGGAGCAACTTCTATCTTCACGTTCAATGCTTTTCTCACTATTTCCGGCGAGACCTGCGTGGCAACATTACAGATTGTGCTAGCAAAGAATTAGTTCAAGAGAAAAAGATTCCAAAATATAAGTGAATTATGTGTTTTTCAAAGAAAGAAAGTAATTCATGAAAAGTACTTCGGGTTCAAAAGCACTTGCCGAATTTAAATTATCATGATCCCTTTCTTTCTTCCCTAAATGAGCGATCTGGGTTCAAGCGAAGATTTTTTTTATGCTGTGCAGGTAACAGCATTATGTCGTACCCCAATCGCACGATGAAACACAGACATTTAATGAAAAATGTATGTTTATTTATTTTAAATATAAGATGATGTCTCGTCGTATTTATTATATGTTATTTAAAATAATCTAACTGTGCTGTAATATTTTTATAAAATGATTAAAATGTTTTGACATAAATGTAGCTAGAAAGTCATGTCAAAAACATAATTTGCAAAGAATTATTAAAATGTTATATTTTCAACAACTCTTTGGAAGAAGCTTTACATGAAATACAATTGACTTCTACTTTTAAAATGTCTTCCTTTTTTCTTTATTTAAACCCTCCCAAGTCCCATGATGAAACGGAATGTTAAAGTTCGTGAAGACACAGAAAGAGTTGACGACAACACTATCTGACAGGAAGTGGTGGGTAGAATGGAAAAGGTAAGAAGCACCTGACATTCAGTGTAACAAAATTACCTCAAATTCCTTAAAAGCTAAATAGAGAAAATAAGGTGATTTATATTTAAACGTAAAAAATAGAAAAAATAACACCAGATAGGTTTTGAACAAATGCAATCGCTTCGACTTCGGAGAGCCGAAAAATATTTTTAAGATAATCGAGAGTGAAAACCAGTATTGCTTCTTCACACTTTCTTTCCATTTTTAATCGTCTCTTGTACTCTGTGACTCCACGTACCTCGAGGTATTTCCCAAAATATTCAATAAGAAACAGAAATTTTGTTGTTTTATAAGGTAAATCCTCATGTTTTGTAATCGATAATAACGGAAACATTTGTTGCATATATTTGCGATGGTCATTAGTCCCGTCGTGCAAGTGTTTCGTTTCACTTGCGTTAATTGCTAGACCAGTTGCGAGCTTCACCTGACGTAACCCCTTGTATTCAGAATGAAAGACGAGTGAGAAGACTTGCAACACCGAACGACGTCATCAACGAAACTAACGAAACTAAAAATCAACGAAAATAAATCAGTCCATATAACCTTTACCCTGAGAAAAAACAAATGCCCTACTGTCCACATCAACAACAATTCAATAGTACAGGTGGAAAGTGTAAAATACTTGGGAATACATCTAGACAAACGGCTAACATGGAAGCATCACATCTTAGCCCAAAAAGAAGCACCTTCAACTTCAAACAAGAAAACTATACTGGATAATAGGATACCACTCAAAACTATCACTGTAAAATAAACTGTTGATTTATAAAGCTATCATAATCCCAATATGGACCTACGGCATCCAAATCTGGGGCACAGCAAGCAAGAGTAATCTCTCGATCATCCAGAGATTTCAATCCAAGACCCTAAGAATGATCGCGGCAGCACCATGGTTCATCACAAATGCAGCACTGCACAAGGACTTAAAAATGCCCACTGGCTTGGAAAGAATAGAATTTATCAGCTCAAACTATCTCAAGCGCCTTGAAAACCATCCAAACCACTTAGCCCTCAACATCCTAGACAATAGTGCAGACATCCATCGACTAACCAGAACCTCACCCCTACAACTCCCATATAGATTCTCAACAAATAACTGAAACATTACCCTCAGCTACTAAACTATCCCACTTGCAGCCAACCCAAAATAATACTTGTTTTTTGTTATAGTATGAAGAAGTAGATGAAGAGTACCGATGGGATACCTTCACTGGAAATCAATCATTGTCAGAACAATTCTACAATATCATATTTACTTATTATTTTGTAAAAAAATAGATGGTAATTTTTTGTTATAAATAAAAAAATTAAAAAAATAAATATTCAAGCCTAATGAAACCCACATCATATAGTCAGGTATATTGTTAAATAACTTCTAAACAAATCGTTCTAGGGCCTTAAAAACTAAAATTTTGAGACCACCAAAAAGAAACATTTTTCATGCCGTAATCTACAAGATGATATATTCTTAAACATTCTATTAAATGTTTGCTGGTTCGGAACTTATCGATACTACCAATACCACCTATATTTCAACCTTTAGTGATGGTGGTCATTTTTGTGACGTCACGATTAGAAGGCTTAGATTCCTTTGTCTTGTTCTATTTACCCTTTCTGTGTACGTCGTCGTGGTTTGCGCAGATTGACGACGATTATTTGCATAATTATTAATTCAAGATTCGCTCTTGTAGCAATAGCTACGAGTAAACGTACCATTAATAGTTGCTTGATACCGATGAAGATTGTTTCTTATAAGTGTAGTGAAAACATTCATTTAACGTTTTGTCGAGGTCTACAAGTGCTGTGTACCTAATTGTGGAGGGATGTGTGTGTACAATGAAGAGTGAAGACGTGTCTTGTTAGGTTTGGTTTGTGTTTTACCTGAACAAGTATTTTCGGTATCAGCAGTGATTCGGTCAAAGTTTCAAATTACCGTGTTCAGTTACTTTCTCAAGAGTAACTAGTGGTGCAACAAAATGTCACATACTTTTTCGTATTCGTTTTCTATTTTCTTTGGTCTCGGTTACCTATTCGGACTTGCCACATACTCTCGCCAACTGCCATCTATCGCCGCCCAAAACACTTTTTTGACATTTTCTTAATTTTCGGTTTACTAATAGTAGAACGGAAATATTATTTTAAGAATATTAAAGAATAGTAAAACTGCGACTAAAATTGCAGTTCTCATTGAAAAGTTTGGAGCTGTTTTTAAGAAAATGGCGCTTAAGCGCTACTGCAAATTCAAAATATCAAGCTTTTAAGCTTAATTTTTCACTTTTCGGAAATCTTCATTTGAAGCACTTAAACTCACAAATACAATAGTGTTTACAAATTGCTGGAAATGTGCGTATTAACGGCGTAAGATGATCTATCAAAAAATTACATATGTGTAATTTTAAAAAAGTACCCCGAAATAAACTTGACCTCATTATAAAGAATGCAATTAACACTATCCGTTCAAAACGTTCGAAAAGAAAAAAAAATTGAGCAGTTTTTTTTTCTTCAGAAAATGGCGTTTGAGTATTTCTGAAAATGCGAAATTTTACGGTAGTTTTGACAGAAAATAGAGGAGTTTTCGAGAAGCTTTATATGACAATATAGAGTGAAGCACGTGTACTCATAAAAATAAGAATGTGAAAAAATTACTGCTTATGTAAATATTAACAATGTGAGAGACAAGTCAAATACGCAGAACATTCTTTAAACTTCGCTTGGAAGCATCTATGAACACTCTCCACTAACTTGGATCATAGTTTGAAAGTGCAGTTTCAGCATAAGTTCTGTCAGATTGAGGCAAATTTACAAGGTAGCCATCTTCGGAGAAAAAATATTTAAATTATATTTCACGTTGTGTGAAGTAGTAGAATGTTTTTAGACAAAAAATGTTTTTTTCTTGGAGTCTAGAACCCAAGAACTCAGCTAACTCTTTAGAGAGGGAGAGATCTCTCACCAAGTCATTTTACTCAATTTGGTTCAAACATCCACGTTCTGCAGCAGACGATGCTATTAAGGAGTCAGTGTCATTCGTCTCAATTTCCTTCACTTCTATATCAGATTCGGGTGCAATCCGTTCAATATTTTCTGGTCTCACAGCTATTGGTACATCAGGCCCACGAGGGACAGGTAAAATGGTTGACCGAACAACTGGAATCACAATTTGCTCTTTTATTTTAAAATTGTATCCCTTCACATCACGCGAACAGAAGTGGCAGTCAATTACTATGGTTTGACTGCTCTCTCCAAACGATAGTTATTCCAAAAGATAGCGACGGTCTTTTGCCGTTGACATAATAACGAAGATCTTCGGTGCTTACTTTACATCTTTGTGGGGATCTCGAGGTTTACTTTGGCTTCCAAGTTTGATCCCAAAATAGGCAAGATATGATTTTTTTACAAAATCTGTGATATTATGTCTCAATAATGTTATGCTCAGGCATTTTTTTATTTTCCACATATATAACAAAAGTTGTCTGGATCATTTATACAGGAGTGATGCACCGTGGTAAATACATTTCCGTATTGAACTACAAACACACAACATTCTACTTCACAATATTTGAACCCATATATTTTCCAGATGACACACACTAATGCAATGTGAGAGAAACTGCAATGTGAGAAGAGGGAATGTGGAAGTTTTCACAAAGACAAGATAAAAATGTGTCTGGCACCAACGGATGACTACGTACATAGGATAATGACAAAAATACATGTAACCTCGCACTAACTTCCTGAGACTCTCGCACCCTCGAATCAGATAAGAAACATCTGATAAGTAATCGTGAGAAATATGTGTAACTGATGTGTTAATTCTACACTGCCGCAATCAGCACTTCTAGGTGAAATGTATTTCTTGTTTCTCTTTTTACGGCCCTGATTATTTTCAAATATGAGCTGGATCAGGTTTTTTCCCTGAAGCCTTAAATTTTGAATGCACTTTCATTTACTTGCAATTATGGGTAATTTGCATTTTCTAGGTGGGTGCTGCTAGCTTTAGAACTAAAGATAGCAGTGCCTACGATTTTGGGAAACCCCCGAGAACATAACATTTGGAAATATAGCACTTAATTACCTTAAAATTTGCCTTTTAAATTTGCATGGTTTAGTTGAGATTGGTTTTGGGGTGCCACTAGCCTTAGATGATTTAGGTTAGGGTAGGGTGGAAATACCTTTTACAAATAATTCACTTATTTTCCTTTTCAATATAAGATTGTGATTAATAAATATTCCAGGAAATCGGGGTACTTCAGCTCATGTACTACAATTGTCTAATACAGAAATGACTGATACAGAAATGCAATAGGTATTGTATACTCATTACCAAGTATTATCAGTGCACGATTTCTTGAGACCTCATTTCTTTAGCTGTGAGAAAAGTGGGAAGTTTGTTTATTTCGATAGTCGGACAGTTTCATGAAATATGTCGTTCTTTTTCTGTGAAAAATAGTTTATAGTGAAAATTAGTTATTTTCTTTCTGTGAAAATTAGTTATATGGGAGCGAACAACATGTTTGTCAGTTTTCGTCAACAACGCTCGTGGATATCTTTTATTCTTAGTTCAATTAAGGGTAGTTCAATGAGGATAGAGAGTCGGAGTTCAAGAAAATTTGCGCGGATAGATTCTATTTTTCGTATTCGATTAATTTTCATCAATATTATTTATTAAATTAGTATATCGGGAATACAGCTTCTTTCTCGAAGGCTTGCTGAAGTATAATCTTCATAGCAACACAGTCTAACATGTTGGATTGTGGCAGCAACGTGCCACGTATACATCAATACAAATATTCGTAGCTTCCGAGAGCTTTTGAGTGCCTTCTAAGAATGTTCTTCTAACATTCATCTATTCTTCAATTTCCAAAATAAATTTACTATTAAATTTCGATTTCGAATTACACTAGGGTACAAAAAAGTGTTTTTTCATAACTCCAGGATCAAAAGAAACGATCACGCTGATTTCGAAAATCATTATAAAAAATTTATATTACGCAAGGTTCAAAGGATATCAATATATTTAGTATTTGAAATAAACAAAATCCCATACTTATTTCCACATCATCATTCCGGTTATATTACTTTACATTTAAATGAGCATGCATCATATGATGTTAAAAATGGAACACGCATATTTGTACAATAATACTGAAACATCTTGGGAGAAGAAATTCCTGTTGTATTGCTTAAAAATGTTTTTGCGCCTTGTCACTTACTCATGGGTTTTTGTTTACTCTCTCTGACAAGAAACCAGCAATAATCTCCTGCCATTGCAGGATTCTTAGGCCCTTGGTAAGCTTAGGCCCTTGGTAGCAATATCTTGATGAAATTGTTCACCACGTTCATCGATAATATCACTCAAATTCTCCGAGAAAAATTTAGATAAAATGAATTTTCAGAGACATTCTACACCTCATATTTTTGTAGCTTTCTAACCATTCTATGACCAATGTTTTATACCTTTGTACCAAGAAATACAAGAACAACTCTCTTATGATTGCCAAGCTGATAACTCAATGTCTCGGAATTGTTCTTCCAATATTTTCTTCCAATCCAGACATGAATTTCGCGCACTGCAGGTACAGTTCCGCATGACACCGACTGACTCAGAATCTGCCATCGCAACAACTTGTATACTTGCGATAAGGTACGGTGCTAAAATAATGACTTTCAGTGACTGATACGCAATAGGAACATTGATGATGTAACTGACTTGTTTTCAAAACATCTACTACAACCTACTAAGACCCATTCGTAATTGAGCTCGACTATCAGACGCGAAAATAAAAACCGCAAGCTTCGAATATAGAGGATAAAAAACACGAAAGCCTAATTTGGTTGATATCGCATATTAATTCTACATATCTTCCAGGTGCAATTTAAATATATTTACATTAATAGCAAAATACTGTATATTTAAAAACTGGGACGTGATATGACGTTTTTATTGTGATATTCCTAATCTACGTACAAAATTGAGTACGTTGAGCACTCTACCTTCCTGGAAGTAAAAATCGTGTTCCCTAGCGCTATTGGAGGCCCCCTGGTCTACTTCACCCATTTTCTTACTAACAAAATTTAAAAAAACATAAACGTGAAAATATATTGTACTCATGTGTAGACTTTTTGTTGAGTTTCAGAACTTTTTTATACAAATTTTAAGAATTCCCACATAATGTCACTAATATTTTTTCTTAACACAATTTGTTCTCCACATATATTCAAAAAGATAGGTTTACAATCTATCTTTGACGCCATGTCGTGGCAATTGGCGCTTAATTGCATTCCAATTAGTTTCAATTGTATTGGTGTGCTGATTATTTTTAGAATCCTTGATATACAAAAAAGAGTGGTTGACGGTGAAGAGCCAGTAACGATCGTCTTCTAGACAATTATAAGAACTCCAACAAATCGAGATCACAAAGGATCTCGGTTTGATAATAGTTTTTATCCACTTTGGTTGGGTAAAGTCAAGCATTATGCCATTGTCATCGGTTTCATAATGAAGTACTTTGCCGCCCTAGTGTGGTAATGTACTTCATTTGGGTGGTAAAATAATGGCGTACTTTGCCACTCTTTTCTGGAAATAATATGGACTTCTTTGACTTGTATCCTTCACTTTTCCTCCTTAAAAACGCTAATAACTGAGTAAACTTACTGGAATCAATATTGCCAATTAAGTGATATTGTACTCTTTAACATAAAATAGTGGTTTTAAAGACTATTTGGTTTCTCCTTCTCTGACTTGCCAGAAAAGTAAGCAATCAAACGTTTTTCCGATATGGAATGAACTTTTTTCTCACACCAGTATTTAAAAAATAAATACTCACGATTTTATTTATTTCTTGATTTGTTGGGTAACAATGATTCTATTTCTATAAATTTCTATAGCAGCATTTGCACCTATTTTTATTTCTGAATCAGAATTATATTCATTCACATAAAAAGTTTACACCAAATGCGTTTCAATTGTTCTACTTGTGTCACCAGTGTCGCCACTTATAGGGGGAAATGTGAAACCCAAATAAGGCAAAGGGCTAAATTTCACATTAAATCTAACAATTCTTTACAGAGTGAGTAAAATATTGTACGATATTCGTATTATTGGTAACATCTGATAAATACTCAATTGGTTACCAAACTCGACGAAACGGCGAATTTTGGCATTTTTCCAATCTTGTATTGTAATCTGATGCTTTACGACACTCATATTGTAAATAACTATTATAATGTCTAAAAGAACCTCTTTGCCTCTATTTTCGACAACCTTAAAAAACAGCGTTTTGACACTCGTTCAATTCCCCCAAAACATCCATTTTCCATTCACTCTCCTACCTCTTTTAAACTTCCTTTTACCAAATTTACATTCATCAATTTTCACAATCACACCTTCACAATTCAAAGAAACACTTTCTCTCGCCAAAATCATAAAACATACTTTGCTACAAAAACTCATTCAATCCGTCACCGTTTTGTATCTTCATTTACATCATTCATAATGCACGTAATTGTAATTATTCCACCATTCATACGCCATTCAATAATTTATAATTTTCATTTCATACGCAACTCACAGAAAAATATTACCATTTAAAATTTCCCTCATTCTCTCCATACAATTAAAATCATTAGAAATGCAATTAAAGAACAATTTGAAACTTACCTTTATCAATATATGTAAAGAAGAAGAATTACGAAAAAAATACTTTCATTAAATGAATATGTGAATGGAAAATAACTGCATAAAAACGTTTGTAACTATTTCTCGCGCAACTTTTCTTGAACGATGACCTTGCTTCCCCTTCCCTGGCACAATTAACAGTTGAAGGTAGAAGCTCGCAGCGAGCGCTGATGACAACATTCCAAATACCTCTTCTCTGGGCGAAACAATTTTCTTTTGAAGACGAGAACGTTATTTTCTCCAAAATCCGTTATTTTCTCCAAATAATCTTACAAAATTACCCAAGCAGGTAAAGATCAATTACAGGAGATACCTCGAACACGTGAGAAAGTTAGAACGCAAATTATTGAGAACGTTGCAGAAACCACCATTCACCCATTATGAATGGAGAATGGGTAATTCACCGGAGATCGGCAGTGCTTCACAAAATCTAGTGGCCGATTTCGTCACTAATACCCCCACTCTATCCGCATTTATTCAATTCATCGTTCAAGAAAAGTTGCGAGTAATATTAAAATTGCCTGAACATGGGGTAGCAATTCTCCCGTTCATTCCCTTCAAGGGTAGTTAACTCTATTTGTTAGCAGGTTCTAACAATATTCTCGACAGGTTCTAACAATATTCGACTGAATTGTATTTGCAGCTTCATTAACATATGTTTTTCCTGCGCTGTTTATTAAGACTGTTTTTTGCCCGTCCTGGTAATGTTCCCCTTTCGGATTCTTCCATAAGTTTCGAGATTTTACACTAAGCCAAGCGACTGTTTCGCGACGTTTCGACCCCGTGTTTCGCGCACGTATACGATGCCAGATTTTGCATCATGCGTATACCCACCTGTCAACTGTTATTTCAAGTTTCGTTGTGTAGCCAAAAACGTTATGATATTCAGTTAAAGGCTGGAGTAATAAATTACATTCACCAACATCGTTCTAGAGAGAAACATATTATCAATCTTCTTTACGCACTAATACAAAAGCTGACTAAACATGTTCACCACCTCGTACGAGAGACACAAGAAACTAAACAAACATGGTCTTCAAAGAATATTTATCAATCAACAGTCTCATTGACCTACGTTCACACATATTACATCTGTCGATGAGAGACAGTACTAATTCCTCTATGGCATATCAATTATGATCAAAAGAAAATAAAGCTTCACATTCTGAAAAATTAAGAATTTTATTCAAATAAATTTCCACGCAGAAAATAGTTTAGTGTGCGAAAATTCAAATATTCTTTATCCATATATATGTGAATTAAATCACGTTTTTTGTTCCTTTTTTTCTGATTCATTCACATTCAGAAATTATGTCGCCACATACTCAAGAATTCGGCTCTAAAACGACCTATCAGTAAGTTTGGTGGTGCAACAAGAATTTTCTTCAGAAGGGATGGCTATAGGAGTTATGTCCTTCCCAGCTGATGTGTTCTAATAAAAAAGTTGGCATTTGTACTGATTTTCAAACTAGGCCTGAAAAACTTTTATTTACTAATTTATTTCATTTGTGAGATACTGTATAATGTTCATATATGTTCTTACTGTAATTTAATTTTTCAAACTGAGAAAAAAAGAGATAAAAGAAACAAATTAAAAATCAAAATTATTTACTTTAAATGATTATTCAGAGAGAATTGTTACAACTGTCTCGCTTTACTTTGGACAGCAGATTAAAAAATAATTGAACCTTGAAATAAGACATCTTTAGTGGATCAAAAAGGTATACAAATAAATTGTCAAATATATTTTCTAATAATGTATTAACAATATTAACAAAAAAATTAATTTGTAACATTTACTCAAATAGTGTGAGCAAAAACTTTAAATACCCAAATGCACTCTTTTTTTTCTTTTTAAATTAATAAATTCAAGACAATAGAAAATGTATGCTGTAATTTGATATACTGCAATACTGAAAATAAAAACTGCAACTGTAAACTTATGCCATTGGCTTCTGCCTAGTGGGGCTATAGCTCCCCACCCTTTCGACAGGTATGCCATGGAATGTTTGATACTCTGTACTCCAATCTCTTCTTTGATACTGGAAGTTTCTTTAATGCATATGTAAAGGCCTTTTAACTATCCCAAATGTGTTATATTTACAAGAATCTCCTGTCCTAATTATCACATCAAAGTAAAGTGAAACTCATCTCTACATTGCTCACACACCACAAAGAAATGCTATTTACCAAATTAAGTGCCATCCATATGAGATGCATTGGTTTGATCCACAGGCAAATGCGATACAGTATTCTAGGAACAATACAAGTTATATGAAGTTCAATTATGATTTTAGTGGGCTAACATGCAGCAAACTGCATGCTTCAGTTCAGATTTGTTTTATTTTTCACCCAGAGGGGTCATAAAATGCTGCCACTTCAGTCTTAAAAAACAAAAATATAGTTGGCTCCGGTTGTCGTAAACCCTCGATTACAGTGAACTTAAATCACGGGTCCCGTTTTACTAACATTACAAATAAGCATAAGACGATTCGGTTAAAGTGAACCTGAACCTCGGCATAGTGAACGTAGGAAATACACGTTCTGGAAATTAATTCACGCCTGAAAAAGAATACTTCGCCTCAGTGCCACAAATTACATCAGGCAGCTTGAAACAAAAATCGTCGGCCAAACGTCATAATCGATGAAGTCCAACCTGAGGTGAAGGTAGCGGACCTGTAATAGTAACTTACTGATGACCTTATGCAATACCACCTAGACACTAGAATATGACCTGTCGATTGACGCGAGCGAATCTATCGCTGACTGCTCGCTGTCAGTCAACGTTTAATTGCCTTCTTCGCCGCCTTAATGATATTATTTTACAGAAATGTATTTTTGAAATATTTTATCGCATTTTATTTAATTGGCAGTTAATTTTAACTCAAAAGAGGTGAACGATTTTAAAATTAAAATATTGCCATATTTTAAAATATTGTGCTCCTCAAAGTGGCACAATTTTTTGAGGCAACTAAATGATTCTGCTGGCATTACACATTTTCAGTATGAGGAAAATTTATTTCTTGGTTATCTTGCTTTAACCAGTTATTTTTTAAGTATTTCAAGAGGTACGTACTGTCAAAAGAAAGAAGGATTTTTCTTTAGAATTTGCATAGACGTTCATAAATTATTTCTAGTTTTTGAGAATCGGATAACAATGACTGGCATTTGAGAATCGGATAACTGGCTTTTCTGTTAACAGAATTGTTGTCAAAAATCATTTTAAAACCAATCTTTTGAAGCCTTACAATTATGATTTTGATATAATAGTTTAGCAACTCACCTGTCAATTTTCTGACTGGAAATATATGAACTATAATTTTATATTATGAAATCATACTAGTAACAACACCCAAGCTGTTGATGAATTTTCCTCTTCATTAATGGCAGTACTTCCTCCTTTATGGTCAACATTTACCTTCAAGAATGACTAATCCATTAAGTGCACCAGTCTTGTCCTTTTCATTCAACAAACTCGAGTTTCTTTCCTATGCACTATAACGCATGGTCTGGATTTTCCTTCACTTTGGTGGTACTGAATTTTGTGGAAAGCAACTTCAAAGTACAAGTGCGCGACAACTTCACATAACCCGAACTTTAACCGTTCTTACAAATTGTTACAATTACTTCTCTGTTCTCTCTCAAAGTTGCCCTGCAACAAGTGTGTTCTGTTGACACATTTGAATCATAAATATGATTACACCATACAATGGATGAAAACACTGTTCTCAAGAATTTCTATATACGACTTTCACAGTTGATTTACACGCAGACCACACTTTTTCCACGATGTAATGTTATGAAAGTAGTGAAATCAGAAGCAAAATGGTCATCTACAAATGGGTATGATGTTTTAGGTGGGGTTGCCTTATGCCACTCACTTTCTCCTCGGAAACAAAGGATATGTCCTGCGTGGGCTACAACTGACGGTAGAAGTGCGCAATTGCTTGCTTCAGTTTCAATCTTGGTGTCGCTTAATATTCCGCGGCATAAAGCGCGTTGAGTTTTACGTAGGCGACAGGATGCATGCGACTGCCACAGCCTGGTGAAATCCCCGTACCGTGTGGAAAAGCGATCGGTTTCATTAGTCACTTTCGCTATTCTGCCATCGAAAGCATCTCGTTTATTATTAGGCGAGTAAAAGGGCCCTCGGAAAGTGGTACGGTGTTCCCACAGTATGAGAGGCGTTGAAGGGTGTCGAGACTGCATTACGATATTCAGACACAGACGATCATGTAGAATCAAGTATGGAGATATTATACGCGCACGTTTTCTTGGGCTCCGAAATACCTACCCTCTCCTTTGCCAACATTAGTTGAATTAAGAATAAATGATAGCAACGTTGTTGACAAAATCTTATAACGAGAATGTTCGCTCCTGTGTAATAGAAACTACCTTGCGTCCAAAAAGAACAACAAATTTGTTGCAAAATATCATTCGTCAAAATAACTCAACTTCCCACTCTTCTCGCAACCAGCGAAGTGAGGGCTCAAGAAAACTTACACGCATAAAAGCACGAACTCCGAAGGATCTAGAGAAATTACTAATGAAAAAGTACGAAGTAAACAATTGACAATAATTGATTTTTTAAGAACAAATAAAGATATTGAAATATTCCGTTCGTGCTCGTAATGTAGATTGCTGAATCTCTATATTCACAACACCATTCGTTATGAAGAAATTCTATTTAATTTTTACATCATCGGATATAGTGAACCAAAAACGTCAGACCCCATAAATTCGCTATAACCGGAGTCGACTGTACTTCCTTGCACAAAATACAGTTGCTAAAATTTCAAGGCGTGCTGAGTACACTTGTTGCCTCATGACCCCTCCGAGGAACCCAGCTGAGGCTGCAGGTGGTCTCTTGGCACTGACATTTTGCTACAAAACATCCCAGAGCATAAATTATTTACGAAATCACATTTACTTTGAAAATTGAAATCTGCAATCTGCAGAGCCGAGAATAGGTAAGTTTTGGAAAGATAAAGTAAATTTTCAGATTAATTTGAAAAACGTTTTGTATCTTCAGGACTACTTGGGTTCTAAGAGTCTGAAAACTGTAAGATATCAAGATATATTAAGTTGAAAATTGACCTCTAGCATGAATAAAAGTAATCCTCAATTGAAGAAAGACCATCACGACAACCTTTTGGCTGATGTAAATAAAACAAACACTAATGTATTTGCTGATTGGCAAAAGTAATTTCTATCCATTGAAACATTGGAAAGTGCTGATGAGAAGTCAACTTCCAGATATTAACATTTCCATTCAATTATTATTATAAAAGCAATCCTTTCTAAGAGTTCTGTTTGTTTTGGGGATTCAAAATTGAAAGTGCTAGTGCATCCCTCCAAGAAACCAAAAGGGACTAGAAGATTTGAACTCATGCAAGTCATGAATACATTCAGGCCAAGACCATTTAGCAAACTCTGGTAAACTGAAATCTAGTATCCAGGAATTCCAAAGCTTTGTCATATCCTAATCAGTTATATATTTCAGCCTTTTTTCGAATGTCCTAAACTGAAGTTTTTCCACATTTGGATAATTCTTGAAGAGCTTTCACTGATCAATTTTTTGTTTCACTTATTTTAATAAATTTGACTTTCTCACTTAGTATTAGACTTCTGTGCTTCTTTCCAGCTTTTGTATAACTTCAAAAAATGTAGTACAAAAACACGATTCTTCAGAGTAAGTAGTGACTACAGTCAAATTTCTTTTGCTCACTGACTTTCAAGGCCAAGTACACCACACCCAATATTGTGATTTTTTTGATAATCTTGCATAACTTTGACCAACCAGTTAAGGCAGTGCAGAGGTGGATGAAAAGACAACAAAAAAGTCATGCTCAAAGAACCTAAAGAGGGAATTCCCCTACACATTGAGAAACCAGCTTTCCCTTCAAGATAGTTTTCAACATGGTTCAGCATAACACCACCTTCTCAGATGTATAACTGCTATGACGAAATCACTTGTTACAGAGACAGAGAACTTTAAACTGATTTGGCGATACATTCCATTAACAGCAGGTTTCACCAAACCCTCTCTGCCAATTGCATTACTTTCACAGCAATACTAATTTAAAAAAGGTTTTTCTCTTGCAAGGCACAAAAAACTGTTCCATTGGCCCTTGGCCATTGGCCATGGCACATTACATTTTACATACACATGTAAACTGCCATCAAACTTCAAGGGCTGGAGAAATTTTCTCATTAAGGCAAGTTCCTAACTTGTTCAAGATCTGGCTTGGACAGATTTTACAGTGTTATTAATGTCAATTTTCTTGCACATGTGTGTTTTTGGAGGGTTAGAATATGAAAAATAAGAACAACTTTGAATAAACATACAACTAGGTGGACCGCGGGGAATCTTTACTAATACGTAAAGAAGGTACAAACATTCACATCACAATACACAAATTTCTCTACATAATATCTAACAACAACTGTTTTAAAAATACATTTTAAAAAGAAACAATATAAATAAAATTTTCTACATTTCACATAAGGTATGTTTATACACAGCTTAGGATATTTACCAGACACAAAAGACTCTAAACATACAATGATCACAGGGAGTTTTCTGAACTGTTACATCAACAGTACATCTTCATTCTTCAAGCACATTTTATTTTGAGACACAAATTTCAGTTACTTTTGAACCATCGAGTTCTCCTACACAATCGTCGGTACGTGAGAATGATCCAAAATAAAATTAATAAGCTTCCTACAATATATAAGAAAATGACAGTAGACTCTTGAGGCATATAACACTTGGATACTGCATAATTGTTTGGAGTGAATACAGCCTGAAAATAACAATCAAAATAACAAATATCCTTCAAACAAAATTAATCTTATAATAAAATTTACATACCAACATAAAACTAGGATTATCTTTATTTCGCCAACTAAAAGATGGTAAAGTGTACTCGTGTACACCCTTCTGAACAAGATGGCAACCATGATGGGTATGACCTGTTACAATGAGACGTGGCTGCAGCATTTCATGCAACTGAAAATAAAGAAATCTTAAATGAACCGAGTTAGTATTACACAATACAATTAAATAATACATTCTTAGGAGTTTCATTGTTCTTGAATGAGTAAAAAATAATTAATTTATTTGAATTATATTAAATAATACATATCTGAATGTTTAATATGTAAATGGTTCATTACATTCCTTTTTTTAAACAATGTACAGATAAAATACATTTGGAATGGAGAGAGTATTGTTAGGGATGGCGTTAATAAAAGAAAGAATAGGAAGATAATGCAAGGAAAGTTAAGTTCAAGAGGCAGACAAAGCACAAACCAAGAAAACCACTGACATTGCTATTTTGCATGCAAATTTTATGAACATCTTTTCCTTCCATTCTTCTTTTATAAGTTGACTGTTTTTTACCAGTATTTGTAACATACCCTTTCCGACGATTCTTTAGAAAGACACTCCCATCTCTCACGAAATTTCTGAGTCTTTTCATCCTCTGGTGCTTCATCAGGTTCGTGACAATCAGCATCAGATTCACGATACATAGGAAAATGCTACATAAACAAAGAGATTGATTGCATTAGAAATTTTTATTCACTTTATGAAATTAACATATTTTGTGAGAAAGTACAAAGAAGAATATCAAAAGAAAACTACTGGTGTTACAACAGTACATACTTTCTTGCTTTATTTGTAACTTTTGAATTTTCATAAATACAGACAGTTAAACAAAAAGACCTGAACAATATCCTTACTCTACTGCACTACAATACTTTGCACTATCCAAGAAAGGAAATTAAAGACAAAAAATGAAGCCACTTTTGAGAATTGCGTGTTTTTAATACTGCCTTTTTTTAAAGAAAATTGCACAAAACTACTCGTATTTTCACAAAATTATCCACGACTTTATGTAAAAATCAAATTATGAAGAAAATATTTTTTTAAGCAAAATTCTCTTATCAATTTTCTACATGTAGGAAGATGCCAATTTTTTTTTTTTTTCCCCAATATGGTAGAATACTAAGAATTTAACATAAAGCAGACCTGCATCAGCATACTTCACTCTATCCGAGGGAAACATTTAAAGAAATAAATTGGGAGAAATTTTTGTGAAAAGTTTGAAAATCTCAATGAGGCCTCATGTAAAGTAGCTCCCAAAATCAAAACATTTGTTTCAAATTCAAGGGGCTGAAACATCAGTCATATTGATCTAGGAATATAATTTTTTTGTGAAAATCCTGCTTACACTTCAGCCACTAGCATTGCCACTAGCGTAGTTCATTGATGTACAGTCAGATGAACAGACATATTTTGCCATTAAGCAATTTTTCGGTATTAAGGAGCCACAAAACATGAAGTCTGACTGCACATGATAAGAGGAAGTAATTTACTACATATAGAAAGAAGAATTATTAACTTTTCAATATCAGGGTATCAGTACTATAATATTTTTTCTATCAAAAGATCAGTTTTGTCACTGAAGCATTAAATAACGTTCTATATATTACATCATCACCATCATTATCATCATAAACTGTAGGTGTTTAGACTTAACAGTCTGTTTAATTTTTATGCAGAATTCCAGGTAGTTTGATCCAGATCTTCCAGGTGTTCCAGCTGTTTCCACTTCTTTTGTGATCTTCCAAAATCTCTGTTCCCTGCTGGTTTGTATTTCCATATTAGTTTTGGCTATCTGTTATTGTTCATTCTTGCAAGATAATCTTGCCATTTTATATGAGAGTTTTCTATTTCCTCCCTTATTCCTAAAGTTTTTGGTTTCTTTCTAATGTCTTCGTTTATAAGTCTGTCCCTTCTTGTAACTCCTACAAGGTGTCTCAGAAATCCCATAAGTGCTGATTTGTTTGCCTCTCACTTTCACTATCCATGTTTCAGAGCCATACATACCATGAAAATTTGTGGACTTGTTCCAGTATTTTTCCATTTATTACAATTTTGGCTCTTCTTTTCTTTGCCTTGCAGTGCCATAACTTTTGTTTTTTGAACTGATATTTTCATAGAAAACATCTGGGCCTCTTTTGTCAGTTCAAAAACTGCCCTTTGTAGATCATCTTAAGTATCTGTTACGCTTGTTTGATTGTCAGCATATACGATTATATCTATCTTTTTGTCTTTCCTGAATTGGATACCCTGTTTAATTTTCTTCCCCCAGTTTTTCACTAGGTGGTTGATATATACGTTGAAGAGAGTAGGCGACAGACCACATTCCTGTCTTAGGCTATTGAATTGTTGCAGGTTTTCTCCCATCTCTTAACACTCTTACTACTCAAGTTCAAATATAATATATACCCAGCAGAGTAATAACACATTTTATACATTTTTATTTTTTAGTGGTGAGTTAATGAAAAACTAAACATTGGATTTGAAACTGGTTGTAACTAGACCACACAGTCTCCATAGACAAAAATGTTTTGGAAAAGATTATTTTTAGTTACAATGATCCTGCATTTAATGAGTGTTTGGTGTAAAATATATTCTGCCATTTTTAAATAAGTAATGAACAAATCACAATATTCATTTACTCTCAAATTATTCAAGATTTAATTTTTAGATAAAGTGCACAAGAAGACTACCTGAAGAAGAATGGGTTGACTGTATTGTGATAACTCCATGCCATTTTCACATCTGCCAACACCTCTACTACATTTCAGTCTTCCTGAAACATTCAAAATCCCCTATAAGAATATGTATGGAGAAAAACAACTCGCGCAAAATTATGCTGAGTTGAAACAATACAATAAAAATGCAAATAAAAGTACCAATAAAGTCACGAAATGACAGAACAGAGTTTTCTGAAGAAAAAACTGTATGTAATCAGCCTAATATCATCATCATCATCATCATCATCATCATCATCATCATCATCATTGTCATGAACGGCAGGATGAAAGGTCGGGGGGTTCCTGGTTAAGCAGCAGACCTGGAATATTTCAGTCTTCCACCTGCATCAGCCTAATAATCCTAATAAGACACTTGTATAGTGCGACAATGCCCTTGCCCTCTCTCAACATAGTTTTACTCCTAATGTATTTATTTATTTGGCTAGCTCAACTTTAATGTAATGATTGGAAGTTACTATACTTACACTCTCAGGGCAGCATCTACTTCATTCTTGTGGGCTGAAAATCGACCGCTCATACAAGACTACTGCTGGTGATTACCTTTATTTACAATAGGAATTAATTGATCTGATGTTGGCTATTCTTTAAATGATAACAACTTCATTAACGAACCGACATTACAGTGAAAGAAGAGTCGGTTGTTAATCAAGCTTTTATTTCTGAATTTTCTTTCATTTCTTATTCAACATTAACAAATTTCATTTTAATTTACTATTTCCCCCTACCCAAGATGCCCATCGTAATTTAATTGGAATTAATTTTCAAAACTTGCTTCATTTAACTTAATTACTATTGACATTCTTGGCCTTGAACATTAAATAATATTTCAAAGTCTTTCTGAAACTTCTAAAGTGCTACACTTTCCTGTTCATAGACAAACTGCCCTCTTGGCGGTACACTTATGTTTCCATAGTAATGGTTTTGGGTCATCCTTCCACAACTTCTGGTGATATTCCAAACATTTGTTCTTAACATACCATAATTTAAAATATCTGTGTTTTACTTGGCTTTTGTTTTTTTGTTTTTTGACTTTGTTGACATCAATCCGAACATCCCGAGACCTAATATTGGTGTCTAGTACAACACGTTCTGACTTTTTTAAAGACTTTTAAAAGTTTTTCATGTCTTTAGCAAACATCAGTTCCAATCAAGTCACATTATATTCTCTGTCTGTGCCTACACAATATCTTATCTTTAACTGTTCATCCAAAGTATCCTTTGTTTCTCATTGTTATTTACCATTTTGTTGCTATATTATCATTGTCACTCATGCATATCTGTGTTCACTTGTCTACTATAACTATGTCTATTGTAAATAATTTTTCAAATAAAAATTACTTTTCTATTACTCAAATATTATGTCCAAATGAATTCTATTCACATATTCTGTGAGGTCAAGTTCCCAACATCTCACATTTATTTTTATTTACCCATGCTACACACGATATTTTGTCGACATTATTTTAATTTTACTTACAAAATATCTTGAAAGTTATTTTGACCCCTCTCAATAGTAACAAAGGTAGTCATGATTTATTGACAAAATAAGAATTATAACTACATATGAGTTCTGTTGTTTGCAAATGTCTGACAATGTATTTTATAATTAATCACATTAATAAACATACTAATTAATATATAAAGGGAATTAATAATCTTAGCTTAAACAACCTCACTAAGAAGAGGTCAGTTGAGAAATTTTCTGAAATTAATTCCAAGAGTAACTCGGGACATGGAATTCTTTCTCTCACATGATTCTTCGTTCCCCAACATTTTGTCAATGAACTTCCTCAAATTAACTTAAGCTAATCACTCCTATATCAGTTCTTTCATTTTTAATGGTTTTCTGCAGAGATTTAGGATATGTAATAACTTCATATTTCTTGAGGAAATAAAATAAATGAAATTTAGACAAAAGCATAGGACACCCTGCCACTTGATTCATTGACGAGTCATGTTGCCTCCACATCATTCCTAGGAGATAGAATTCCTAATCCCTTGCAGTGATGTTACTATTTTGTGGTTGTTTGGTTTGTGGTGTTGGTTTTTCTTTCTTTCATCACAATAACTGATTTTCTATTCAATAATTCATGGTCTTTTAAGTCAAAAGGAAGATTGAATGATCGAAGAATTGAGTAATTAATCATTTCTGCTGATGAATGTTTTAACAGAGTTTACAATTTCTTTCTGAATTTTGTTTTTATTTTTTACAAATAAGTTCATTATAAAGTATTTGTAGAAAAAAAATTGTTAGAATTTTTCATTCAAATCTGGAAAATTAGTTGAATTACCAATTTTTTATTTAGAAATAAAAGGACATTTTTCTTAATCACAACTAATTAAAACAATAAATTAATTATAATTAATATGAATATTTTATTGTTCTACATGTTAACATCTATATCAATCTCCTTATAAATTCAGCTTTCAAGTGTCTTCATATAACAACATACATATACAGATTTGAACTGGAAACAAAATGAATTAAATACAAGTTTCTTGTAATATGGAAATTCAGAAAATTTCACCAAAATTTAACATTTTATATTCATCAACATATATACAAATATAAGAGGATGTTGATCCAACACTGTGTGACCGATTGGCACATCAATTTTTTTTTTTTTTTTTTTTTTTTTCTTTTTTTTTTTTTTTTTTTTTTTTTTTTTTTCTTTTTCTTTTTCTTTTTCCACTCAGAAAATTTTGATTGCGTGTTAATTTAGATGGCGCTACAGGACAAAATATCTTTTCATTTTAATCCAATTTTCAATTTTAATTTGCACTCCACCCAAGCTTCACTGTTACTTACTCTTGCCATGTGATGCAGGAGTCCCAGGTATGACTTGGACGAGAGAGGGGGGAGGAGAGGAGAGAGGAGAGAGAGAGAGGGAGAGAGAGAGAGGAGGGAGAGAGAGGGAGAGAGAGAGAGGGGAGGTGAGAGAGAGGGGGAAGAGGAGAGAGAGGAGGGAGAGAGAGAGGGAGGTGAAGAGGGAAGAGAGGGAGAGGGGGAGTGAGAGGGGATGAGAGATGGGAGTGAGAGAGAGAGGGGGAGAGAGGGGAGAAGAGAGAGGGGACGAGAGAGGAAGAGAGAGAGGAAGAGAGTAGAGGGAGAAGAGAGGGGAGAGAGAGGGGGAGAGAGAGAGGGGGATGAGAGGGCGGGAGAGAGGAAGAGAGAGGAGGGAGGGATGAGAGAGGGAGAGAAGAGAGAGGCGAGAGAGAGGGAGCATGAGAGAGGTTAAGAGAGAGAAATAGAGAGAGGGAGAGTAGAGAGAGGAGAGAGAGAGAGAGAGAGTGAGAGGACCGAGAGAGAGGAAAGAGAGGAGAGGACGAGAGAGAGGGACGAGAGAGAGGAGAGAGAGAGGAACGAGAGAGAGGACAGAGACGGAGAAGGACTGAGAGATGGAGAGGCAACCGAGAGGAGGACGTGAGAGATAAGGAGAGAGAGAGGAACGAAGAGAGGACGAGAGAGAGACGAGAGAGGAGGACGAGAGAGAGGACGAGAGAGAGGCACGAAGTTGAGGGCGAGGACGAGGAGAGGACGAGAGAGAGGACGAGAGAGAGGGAAAACGGAGAGCACGCACGAGAGAGGACGAGAGAGAGGATACGAGAGAGAGGACGAGAGAGAGTGACGAGAGATGAGGACGAGGAGGAGAGACGGAGGACGAGAGCGAGAGGGACGAGAGAGAGCGAGACGAGAGAGACGGACGAGAGAGAGGACGAGAGAGAGGAACGAGAGAGCACGGACGAGAGAGAGAGGAAGAGAAAGAGAGGACGCAAGAGAGGAGGACGAGATGAGAAGGACGAAGAGAGAGAGACGAGAGAGACAGAGAGAACGAGAGAGAGGACCGAGAGAGAGACAGAGAGAGGAGAGAGAGAGAGAAAAGAGAGAGAGAGAGAAAGGGAGAAAGCCCCGCAGAAAGGGAGAAAGGCGAGAAAAAGAGAGAAAGGGAGAAGAGAGAAAGGGAAAGGAGAAAGAGAGAAAGAGAGAGAAAGAGAGAACGGATTGAATATGAAAAAAAACGAGCAACACCGGGTATTTTACTAGTTCTCTATAAAAATGATTCGTGACTCAATTTTAAACAATTTCCTGTCATCTAGTTTTGAGCTAATAATTCATGTCTTCCCTTGTTTATTGTTTGCATCCATATCTTACTCTCAATTTCAATGATGCATTATTTTATACATGGCAAGGTCTGCTCCACCTGACCTTGCAAATTTTTCCTCCTTTTATCATCTAACAGAGAAAGAAAGTAGCACTTGGACAATGTGTACAGGCTATTTGAATTTAACTCAAGAGGCTTCATTTAGACTTTATCATTTACGTGCAGTTAATCTAAAATATGGGACAGCAGGTTTTACTTCCTCTCCAAAGGAATGTGTACAAAAAATTTTTTCTCCTCAAAATCCATGGATTCAATCATGTCTGAAACCCACAACAGTCAATACACTATTAAACCATCAAAAGCAACCATTTTCACAATCCTATGGACTATGAGATCAAAAATTCTGAGGTTAGATAATCCAATTGTGGAATGTCACAGCACATCTATAGTATAACACTTTACAGTGTGTAAGAAGAAAGGAACTTACGTGATATTTTCTGGAGTTGCAGGTCTGCGGTCGACATAAAAACACCCCATCTCCTTCCAGGGCCATACTATTTATTAAGACAAAATGGTTTCCTTTGATAGTTACAAGTTTCACTGAAGGCCGCACCAAATGCAGCAGCAAACCTTCTTGTAAATATGGGCTATGCTAAAATGAAAAGAAAAATTAATAAAATCATATTATGCAATATATTCATTTTATTTATTAATTTAATTCACTTGTTCACTCCAGCAGTTCCCAAATAAGCTTGTGAATAAAAAATGAAACTTCCTAAACATCAAGACTTCTAAAGTTGGCATCTCCAATACAGGAGTGGTTATCCTAATTTACTTAAGGTTAGTTCATTCTCGCTTCCTGGACTGGAATACTAGATAAGTTGTTACCACAGATAAACAGTTTGTCTCACACACAATATTGCTCGCCAGTCAACACTTTAAACTTCCTTGATCATTAATAGTTTTCGAACAATTTACCAATAATTAAATTATTTTTGCATTAATCTAAACATGTTTGCAAACAGCAACCCCACGTCACAACATATAAGATTCCAGCTCTGAATTTGCAATGATTTAAAAATCTTATATATTTTATTTTATTTTTTTCTTGTTTTTTTATTTTTTTTTTTTTTTTTTTTTTGTTTCTTTTTTATTTGGTTTTTTCTTTTTTTCTTTTTTTTTATTGCTTGATTTTTTTTTATTATTTTTTTTTT